CAGGGGGACAAGCAGGCTTTGGAATTTTGGAATTAGAAGACTTAACTGCAACTCTGGCTTGGCTGTTTACTGACTATAACTCAGCATTTCCCAAAGAGGGTTCCATTGAGTGCTACAGTTCTATGACATATTAAAAAGCAAGAGTGTAGGGGTTAGCTATTGCCACTGATAATGATGCTGTGTAACAAACAACCCCCAAACTCAGTGGCATGCAATGAGTAGCATTTATTCTTCACTCATGCATCTGCAGGTTGGCTGGAGTGGCTCTGCTTTGTGTATCTCATTCTGGGGTTCAGGATGGAGAGGCAGCAGCCCCCTGGGCCGTGATTATCTTATTGACGATGGAAAAGCACAAAAGAGCAAATGGAAACATGCAAAGTCTCTTAAGGCCTAGGCTTGAAACTAGCACACTGTCACCTCCACACTCATTTCATTGGCCAAAGCAAGTGACATAGCCAAGCCTTTCATCAGTAGGACAAGAAAGTTCACTCTTCCCATGAAGATTTAGAGAGAGAGAATAAATTTTTGTTGTATGGTCATTCAATCTACTACAGTTGCATGGGGAAAATGTTCTGTGATCGAGTAAGTTGGGGGAATGCTGTGATTTTTAAAAACATGAAAAAGAGTTGGGATGTCAGAGATTGGGGAGAGGTGCCAATTTTTTTTTTAAGTGAAACAGGTCTCAGAGCCTTTAATGCATGCATCCATTCTGAATCTCCAATTGGGTGGTACGATATGTGATGTTTTCTAACTTTTTTTCACTGTATCACTAGCGTGCCACAGAACCCACTTTAGGAAAGCTTGCTATAGGTCCTGGGTGAGTGTCCTAACTTCTTAGAACCCCAGGTGAGTGGGCTGTTTGAATAGGAACAATGATGTCTGTCTCAGAGGAAGGCATGCCCAGCATTATGTCACACGTGGAAGTGCACGTAGATGCCTGTTCACTCATGAGTTCAGTCGGCTTGGAGCTCCAGTAAGAAAGAGGGCTCCCTCCACATGGGACAGGCCAGACTCAGGCCACTAGGGATCCACACACTGGATTGGGCAGACGCTGGGTGGTGGAACAGCTATAAAAAGGAGTAGAAGTCCCCTTGAACTCTGAGAGTGTGACACAGCGGAGACCTCACAAATGGGTGTTAACAGGTAAAGGAGTGGGGGTGGGGGTGCGTTCCTGTGCTATCAAGTTTTGAGAGACTCGAAGCTAACCTGGTGTGGCTACGGATTAGCAGTTGTATTTCAGGGAAGGCTCCAATAGGGCATTGGCCTGGACTGACCCTTGACCCTGAGGAA